AAAACCCGGGGGGGAAGGAATTTGGGGGGGGGGGGAAGAAGGGGGGGAGAGGGGGGAGACCCCGGGCGCGGGGCGGGAGGAGGCGGCTCCGCTGCCACCCGGCTGGCCAGGCAGGACGCGCCTCCTTCTCGTTTTCCTCTGCGAGCGGCGGAGACAGGCTCCGGATCTGTTTCCCCTCCTTACCAGGGAGCATTAGACCCCGCGCGCCTCCCTGGACCCCAAAGCCGAAATTCCAGGGTTTTGAACACTGAGACCAGAATCCAGTTCACCGAGGTGGCTCTGTCTCTTTTTTGTTCTAGGGGTGCAGAGACTCGGTAGGGCAAGGAAGCGAACATCTGGATCTGAGCGTTAGCTTCTAATCAGCGTATTGGCCCGTAGGCTTGTCACGCCGCCGCCTTTCGGGCCTCCGTTTCTCCGTCTGTTCCGTGGGGCTAGCCTCCCCTCTTGTAGCAGGTAGGCAGTACAGAATGGGAGCTATAGAGAAATGGACGTGAAACACTTTGCCAGCTGAGTGGCGCCTAGAAGCATTCAGTGATGAATGAATGGATGGTTCCTGAAAGGGATGGCAAGGAGGGAGGGAAGAGACGATGGCGGGCCTGTTGCAGGTTGGGTTCCTGGAAAGCAGATGCAGTGATGGAATTGCAGTGCAGGAGCTTTATGAGGAAACACCCTGGGGACCAACACCCATGGAAGGGAGAGGCGGGGACAGGCGTGGGCAGGAGTCCAGAGCTCCCTGAAGGCCTCAGGTCAGTTTGGCTGACTCCGCAGGCACTCAAGCTAGGACGGCCCCTCAGAGTTGTCCCCAGATAAACGAAATTGGCCAGGCTTTTATATCCCTGCCTTCATCAGTCCTTGGATAGGGGGCCATCTGGGAGGAGGTGTGACAGGAGCCAAGGTGGCCCTGTCCCTGAATGGACTGACAGCTACAGGCTTTCTACTGACAGCACTGGTGTCCTAGGTCTTCACTGATTGGGGATCTGGGCAGCATATCATAGTGACTCCTACACTCAGAAAACCCCTACTGAGCCCCACTAAATGCCAGGTATGGAGCTGGGTGCTTATACTACTCGGTCTCCGGGAGCTCACGGGCTACCATGAGAGAAGCCAGGTACTCGGGATTTTGTGTAATGCAGTAAGGGCTAAGCACTCCTACTGTCACGTAGCAAATACTTCTTGAGCATCTGTTCTACACCAGGTTCTGCTGTAGGTGCCTCTTATGCAGTGATGAACAAGACCGTGTGGTTCCTGCCTGGGGTGGGGGTGGGGGGGCCTGTCACAGGTATTAAATAATTCATAAATAGCTCTAAAATTACTGTTGTGGTAAGTACCACCTAAACTAGCCTTGGGTATGGGGTGGGGCAGGGCTCAAGGAGAGCTTCCCAGAAGGGATGTTTGTGCTAAGCTCTAAAGAATGAGTAGAAATTAGCCAGGTTAAAAGTGGAAAGGTCCTGAGGAGAGAGAAACGGTGCATTTTGAAACAAAGAAGGCTGGGTTCCTGCTGGAGCAGAGAGAGCCAAGGGTGAGAGAAGAAGGTGTAGAGCAGGCAGGGGTGAGGTCACAAAGAACCTGGTAGGCCATAGTAGAGATTATGGTCGTTAAGGTAAGAAATGAAGGTTCTTTTCTT